CAGCCGGGCGTGGTAGCACGTGCCTGTAGTTCCAGCTACTTGGAAGGCTGAGGCGGAAGGATCGCTAGAGCCCAGCAGGTCAAGGCGACAGAGTGAGACTCCAACTCAAAAAAAAAAAAAAAAAAGTATGTATGGTTCAATGAGAAGCCCTCCCAATATTTACTGTTTCCGTTTGGATCATGGTCCCAAAGCACCCCTCAGAGTAGAGGATCCCTACGGAGGTTCTGTGGAAAAGACAGACCTCTTTCTGTTCACCTCCAGGACAAAGCAGAGCGGGGCTCAGGTGACCCTGCCATTCTTCCAGTGCCTGCAAATGAGTCTTCCTCTCATCATGGGACTGCAGCCTGAGGGGCATGGCTGGAGTGGTGGTACAGGCAGCTCCCTCTGTGTCATTCATCTGCCTCTGGTCTTCGCCAGACAGACTGCCCCTGGCTTCCCGGAGTTGCAGGCTCTGAATAAGCAACCTGCAAGCTTCCAAGTCAGCTTCCCACACTTTTCCAAGCAGTGGATACTTGCAGCTAAGACAGAGAGAAAATAAAGGCATAAAAATGAACTCAGTGATGGCTCATCATACCAAGTCAATAACTTTTCTACCTGGCTAAAGTCAGCTAGTCATTTTATATTCAACTACTTAATTTCACTCAGTGATGGATTACTTTCAACCAGAAGATCCAGCGAGGCCAAATCTGTCACCATTAAGTCATTGTGAAATGCGTTGGCCCTCCTTAGCTACTTGATCTGCAAGACCATCCAAAATCCTGTGCATTTTTCCAGATTCAGCGACCCAATAAACCTCAGCACTTCCCCATGTCTGTGCTCCAGTACTCCTGGTTTTCTTTGATGCCTCAGACCTTCCCAATTCTTCTTGGCTAAGTATGTACTTTTTTCCTTCTTTTTTTTTTTTGGTTGGGTCTCAGTCACCCAGACTGGGCTTGGCCTTGGCCTTCTGGGCTCAGACGATTCTTTTGCCTCAGCCCCCCCAAGTCGCTGGGACTCCAGGCACTCGTTGCCATGACCAGATAATTTTTTTATTTTTGTAGAGACGAGGTCTAGCAATGTTGTCTAAGCTGGTCTCAAACTCCGGGGCTCAATCTTCTTGCTTCAGTCTCCTAAAGTACTGGGATTACAGGATTGAGCCACCACGCCTGGCCTACGTATGCACCTTTGCATATGCTATTTCTTTTTTTTTTTTTGAGTTGGAGTCTCACTGTCACCCAGACTAGAGTGCAGTGGCCACTCCCGGCCACCGCAGGCTCGACCTGCTGGGCTCTAGCGATCCTTCCGCCTCAGCCTTCCACGTAGCTGGAACTACAGGAGTGTGCTACCACACCTGGCTAATTTCTTGATTTATTGTAGAGATGAGGTCTCGCTGCCCAGGTGGGTCTCGAACCCGCGGGCTCAGGCAATCCACTCACCTCAGCCTCCCAAAGGTGCGGGATTACAGGCTGAGCCACCGAGCCTGGCATGCATATGCTATTTCATCTGCCTAGACCATCCCTCCCCTCTCACCTCCACCACACACATACATTCAGGTCTCCAGTTGGCTAAATTGTATTATCCTCAGAACTCAGTTTAAACAAACTTTCCTTGAAAAAAACTTTCCCTGGCTCCCACCCAGGAATTTATGCTGGGTCTCTTAGCACCCTGTCCTTTTCTTTCAGAATATTTATCACAATTCTAATTATTTATGTTATCATCGGCACTTTGCTCTGAGGGAAGTGCTCACATCTACCTTGTTGTCTACTCTGTTGCTAGAACCTATCAACATGAATCATGGACTCAGATTCCTAGAATTCCCAGCATGTAATGTAAATGAGTGGAACAGAGCAGGGATGCTATAAACCATAACTGATATTCAGCCTCAGTACCAGAAGACAATAGAAAGGAGTAAGGAATGTTCCTAGTTAGAAGGAGGACATATCCCTTTATACAGAACATTTCATCAGTTCATCAGCTCAAGCCAACTAAAACTATGACCAATGTGGACTCCATTTTGACAAAAATTTTGACTTTTTATGGAAAGCCAAAAATCTGGGGTTTTCAATAAAAAATATATTTTGTTATCCATTTATCTAACTTCACACCAGATATTTTCTACAGACTTACCTTCCACCTAATAATTTCTCCTTCTACTGTATCTATCTGCTGCTAAATCTATTGTGTTCTAAATTTCAGTTAATTTTGACTGATTTTCTTTTACATATTTCAGTCCACTGTTGAAATTCTGCATTATGTTCCTTATTTTCTTGGACATATTAACCATTATTTTAAAGCCCACGTTTCTAAATGATAAAATCAGAAAGAAAAAGAAAGAACAAGGCAGAAGCAATATTGGAAGAGATATCAGCCCAAAATGTTCCTGTGTTGGCATATAACATCAAACCACACATTCAGGAAGCACTACAACTCAAAGCAGGAAAAGATTTTTAAAAAAAACAAAACACACATCTAGGCCCATCATAATGAAAAGTCTAAACACCAACGACAGAACAAAACTCTTAAAAGCAGCCAAAGGAAAAAAAGACATATCAACTTCAAAAGAACTTAAATATGAGCGACAGAAATGGTGAAAGCTAGGAGACAATAAAATGGCATCATTTTGGGAGGCCATGGCAGGAAGATCCCTTGAGGCCAGGAGTTTGAGACCATCCTGGACAACACAGTAAGACTTCATCTCTACAATAAAAACAAAAGTAAAAAAATTAGCTGCCAGGTGCAGTGGCTCACACCAGCACCTGGAAGGCAGAGGTGAGAGGATTGCCTGAGCCCATGGGTTCAAGACCACCCTGGGCAATGTGGTGAGACCTCGTCTCTACAATAAGTAAATAAATAAAAATTAGCCAGGCATGGTGGTACACACCTGTAGTTCCAGTTACTTGGAAGGCTGAGGCGGGAGAATTGCCTGAGCCCAGTAGGTCGAGTCTGCAGTGGCCATGAGCATGCCACTGCACTCCAACCTAGGTGGCAGAGTGAAACTCTGACTCAAAAAAAAAAATGTAGCTGAGCTTGATGGTACATGTCTGTAGTCCTAGCTACTCAGGAGGCAGAGGCAGAAGGAACACTTGAACCCAGGTGTTAGAAGTTGCAGTGAGCTATGACCACACCTCTGTATTCCAGCCTGGGGGATCAGGTGAAACACTGTCCCTAAAAAAAAAAAATCAAAATTAAAAAATCAAAATAAATAAAAGTAAAATAAAGATATCTCAGATAAATAAAAACTAAGAGAATTCATTGGCAGTACATCTGTTATAAAAGAAATGATCCCAGCTAGAAGCAAGGACATGCATTAAGGAATGGGAAGAGTCAATTATATAGATAAGCTTAAGTAAAGATTGATGTACAAAGCAACAATAATAATTTCTTTCTGCTCTAAAATATATGTAGAGTTAAAATGCATGAACATCAGCACAAGGGAAGGAGAGAGTGAAATGAATTATTTTTAGGTCCTTGTTTTCTCCAGGACATAGTAAAGTGCTTATTTATAAAAGATTAAAAAGTCAAAGATTCATAATAAACACTTTATGGCAATAATAAAACACAAGGGTTAAAAATATATGTAACTGTCACGTTAATATAGGAGAAACTGACCAGGCTTGGTGGCTCAGCCTGTAATCCCAGCACTTTGGGGGGCCAAGGCAAGTGGATTGCCTGAGTCCGTAGGTTCAAGACCAGCCCAGGCAACTTGGTGAGACCTTGTCTCTACAATAAATCGAAAATTACCCGGGCGTGGTAGTGTGCACCTGTAGTTCCAGCTACTTGGAAGGCTGAGGTGGAAGGATTGCTGGTACCCAGCAGGTCAACACTGGGGTAGCCGTGAGTGTGCCACAGCACTCCAGTCTGGGCGACAGAGTGGGACTCCAACTAAAAAATAATAATAATAATATGGGAGAAATTTTAAAAATTAACAATACTTGGCCATTGCTTTGTTAAACTCTGGTGTGTCCACATGGCTCTTTGAGCTATGGCCACCATGTTTCATAACTTTGGCCCCCTTCCCTACCTTGGAAGGTGAATCTCCTCCCTCTCTCCAATTTACTTTCTAAACAAACTATATTTTCCAAGATAAAACAAAAAATAAAATAATAAAATATTGCTTTAACAAATATAGTAAAGTAAATAGGAATGAACAAGTGCAGATGGGAAAAACAGTAAAATGGAAAGATTTATACCAAAATATATCAAAAATTACATGAAATATAATACATAAATACTGTATTTAAAATACAAATATTTTAAATTAGAATAAATTAAAATCCAATGATGTTGCTTATAAGAGACATAAGTTAAATATAAGGACACATATAGGTTGTAAATAAAAGGAAAGGAATGACATTAGCTAAGAATGATTAGAGATAAAGTGTAGGGGAAAAAGGAGAGTCTTTGGAACATATTGTATGATGCCAATTGGATATCATTATTAGAAAAAATAAAATCATGACTATTGGCTCACATGGTACAATTTCAGGTGGATTGGACATCAGAATGTAAAAGGTAAAACAATAAAACTACTCAAGATAACAAAGGACGATATCTTTATGACTTTGTGGTAAACAGAATATAAAAAGAATATAAAAACAACATGAACAGAATATAAAAAGTACTAACCACAAAGAAAACAATTGATAAAAATTACCTCACTAATATTAAAAACATATTGATCAAAAAACATCAAGTGAACAAAATGGTAAGTCACAGAGTGGGAGATATTATTTGTAATATATGTAGCCAACAAAGGACTGATTCCAGAATATAAACAGGATTTCTAGAAGTTGACAAGAAAGAGAAAGAAAACCCAATTTCTTTGAAAAGGGGGTAAAAACTAAATAGACACTTCACAAACGAGAGCATCTAAGTGGCCAATAAGTAACTTATGAACAGATGCCCAAATACCATCAATTATCAGGAAAAGGCAAGTAAGTCACAGTGTGATGTACAAGGAGGGACCCCAAAAAATCTAGAATTATCTTTTTGAGGGCAGGCCCCTTGTAGTACAGGTATCCCCCGCTAGGTAAGTGTTCTAGGAACCCACTGGCATCAGTGTACCAGCTAGCACTATTGTAAGAGGCTGCATTTAGCTTCAGTTAAAAAAAATTTGGGGGGGTGGTGATTCTTTCAACTCTTTTGCTCATTTCATGATGGGTGATTTACGAGCACACATGCCTAGTGTTCCGCAGATTTGGCTAAAAATGGCATGATCCCATTCTCCACCCTTCCTATTCTCCAATATTGCTCCAAGGGACTTTTATTTCCTGGATGAAAAAAAGTTTTCAAAGGGAAACGTTTTGCCGACGTGGAAGAGGTGAAACAGAAAATGGCAGAACTACTAAAAGGCAAGAAAACTGACAAGCTCAAAAACTGTTTTGAGTAGTGGGAAAAGAGTCTTAAAAGATGCATTGCATCAAATGGAGAGTACTTTGAGGGTAATTGAAGTTTAAGCATTTAAAAATAAGTCCATAAGTTTTCATAAATAAATTCTGGGTTTTGGAGGGTACTATCACATACACACACACACACACAC